GGATCGAGCCCTGGCTAGATCCATAGCAGTTTCAGCGTTTTCACAAATCCTCAGGCCTCTGTCTGCTCCAACTACTCGTGGTAGCCCCCTGGACCCACAGGATACCCAGTACTTACTTGATAGCAGCTGCTGCATCCCACCCACTCTTCGTATTTTGTCTGAACTTCTAGGGCACCAGGGGCCCGGATGGGCACCCATGCAGGTCGCCCAACCAGCTGCGCGTCTGGAGTACCCCTGCACCCAAAAGATCTGCCTGTTCTTCTTTTGGGGGGCGGTGGTGGGGCATCTCTGCCCCCACCTACGTAGCTTTGCCCGAATCCAGGCTCTTTTTTTTTTTCGCTCTTTAAAGCTCATTTTCGCGCTTTAAACCACCAATACGTTTCCCAGCCTTCTTTTTTCTTTTTATTTTTTCCCAGCCATTTTCTCCAAAGGGGCTGCATGCAGGCCGCAACTTTCAGGGATCGGCTGCCGGAGCCACTTTTGCCCGCCCGGGGTAACGAAAGCCCTGCGCACAGAAAAAAAATGAATAGGCACGGGCCTGGTTTTGGCTTGCGCGGCCAGCCATTTTGCTCTGGCTGCCGACCCCCAAAAGTAGCGGCCGCATGCAAGGCCCCTCGAAGAAAAAGGGCTGGGAAACGTACTGGTGGGAGGCCTGCATAATCAGGTTGGGGAGGGATAGTGAGTCCGCGGGGGGGGGAGGAGGAAAGGTGGGGTGGGTGGAGGGGGCGGGGGGGGCCATGTGCCCAGCAAAACAGCCTACCTAAACTTTTCAATTTTCTTCTGTTTTTATCAGTGGTTGCCTAGCAGCACTTTGTCCGTTTTGTTCAACTGAGATTTCTCTTAGCCTATCAACTGCAACGTTTTTCTAAATGTCACCCACCACCTCCGCTTGCACTCGTCATCTGCGGCTCGTCCCCTTCTCCTCCTCTTCCCCCTCCTCCTCAACGGCTTTCCATGTGCGCCTCCATGTGCGCCTGATGAATGGTGAGATGGCATCATGGTAATCCGCCCATGGCATCGAGTCGATTTGCCCACGTGGATGAACGGAACAATCACCATCACCTGCAGATAAGACCTGAGTTCGAATCCTAGAGGAATAAAATGACTCTGTTGAACTCCTCCTACCTGGGGTCAGTCAGCTCCATGGTTGTCCTGAAAGAAAAAAAAAAGAAAAAAAAAGAAAGGTTGTCCTGTTTGCAGAGTGTGGCGCTCGCATTGTCATGTTTTGTAATCTCAGTAATCCTGCTCTGCTGCCTTTGTTGGGATTTCCGTGAAAGGAAATGTATTGTTGGACTGCAAATCCACGAGCGTTGGTTCGAATCCGTCCTTAGCCTACACATCGTGTATTCTGGCCGCTGCAAACAACAAGACATGAGTTATGAATGGGAGCACACATGAAAAAAAAAAAAAAAATCGGAATCGTGTACTTGTTTACAAACAAGAGAGAGTCCTGGAAACGATGTGTAGCCTCATGTAGGTTAAAGAGAACGTAATAAAAATAATAACGTTAGTCGATCAATTGGTTGTGAGTACGATTGACTGGGTATACGTCTACGAACACGAGCATATACTATTATGCATATCGATGTAAGTGTATGTGTATATATCAAGATTAGCATGCATATAGTACGTCTATATATAGGTTAGTATGCATATCGAATGTCTATATATAGGTACACGTGTACTACACAGAGAGATACATATCGTCACATGAAACAGATATATATATTATACAGGTTGGTTGTCCCGGCGCCTGTAGGCACCCAACTCGTGCCCGGATACTCGCTCGGGTGCTCGGCCGGACATGAACCCCAGGCAGGGTTCCGGGCAGCCCCAGCACCAACCAAAAAAAAAAAAAAAAAAAAATCCAAAAAAAAAAAATGCTGTGTGGAATTGCAATACAAACGACTTTTGGCTTGAGGGTCACATCAGAATTCCTCACGAAGACAAAAAGGAAAACAAGAGAATCAGACTAAGGCACCCCCCTCTGGACCCCTTTAGCCCTTAAAACCAATTTATACCCCCCTTCCCCCCCCCCTTGACAGCCAACACTCAAAAAAAAGAAAGGAGCCCGGAATTGGGCTCCCTCTGGCCATGCTCAGAAAACCTCCACTCAAAAAAAAGGAGGGCTGGGTTTTGCCTGCACGAGGTTGCCCTGCAGGTGAACCCCAGGCGACTTGCCCGGGTTTCACGGCCGTGCTGCACGGCCAGCCAAGCCAACTAGCCTAGACTTGGCTGTTTGTCCACACCCGAGCATTCAACTTGTGCCCGGACACGCGCCTGGGTGCCCGGCCGGGCATGAGCCCCGGGCAGGGGTCCGGGCACCATTAAAATTTCAGAAATTTAGGAAAAAAAAATTGTTGTGCAGAATTGCAATGCAAACGACCTTCGGCTGAGGGTCACATCAGAATTCATCACGGAATCAAACACGAAAAAGAACACAACAGAATCAGACCTAGGCCGATTTAGCCCCTTAAAAACCAATTTATACCCCCCTGCCCTGAAGCGAGCACTCGAAAAAAGGAAGGAGCCCGGATTTGGGCTCCTCTGGGCATGTGCAAAAAAAACATACCTTTAAAAAACGGAAAAAGACACGGCTGATTTTTACATGCACGGGGTGCCCCGTGCAGGTGACCCCGGCCAACTTGCCCGGGTTGCACGGGCGTGCTGCATGGCCAGGCGAGTCAAGTAGCCTAAGTATATATCGTATATGCATATCCGGTTTACCGAACAGTTCTGTTTGACGAGATATATATATATACGTATCCCCAAACAGAACTGCCCGGTAAACCGTAGGCAGAGAGGGAGAAGAGGACAACAAACGAGGGGCTGTGACAAACTGTTTCGTCGGAGTTTCACCGACTCATCAGGAGGTGTACATACTCTGTTTGACAGTCGTTGATGCTTAACCACAACCGGGGTTAAGGTGGATTATCACTTACAGGGTAATCAGTTAGGGGACTCTGCAGACTGTAGAGGGTTCAGCCTCCTGATGAGTTGGTGAAACTCCGACGAAACAGTTTGTCACAGCCCCTCGTTTGCTGTCCTCTTCTCCCTCTCTGCCTACATATATTTGTATATATACGCGCTCGTTCCTATCAAAATCCAGGACTAAAGCATAACCCTCGTGCTCTCCCACCCACTCCACCCCCCCCCCCTCTTATTTTCATCACCGCCTATAGCAACACACCAGCCACCATTACCCCCCTATACGGACCTACAACCCCTATACGTTCAACCCATTCCACCCCCTGCCCCTCCCTCCAGCCCCCCTGCCCCCCTGCCCCCCCACCCCCGACAGCCTGCCAATCTACTCTCCCTCTTGCATCCCCTTCCCTCAGGTCCCGATCCCGGCCTTCGACCAAAAAAGACAGTAAGAAAACCCAATCTCCACTCCCTCCCATCCCATTACTACCTCTCCTCTCTCCTTCCAATCAGCTGCCGGAAACCGCAAGGGGGACCTCACCCCGGGTACTATTTAGATTAAGTCTCTCTCTCTCTCTCTCTCTCTCTCTCTCTCTCTCTCTCTCTCTCTCTCTCTCTCTCTCTCACACACACACACACACACACACACACACACACACACACACACACACACACAGAGTGGGTGTGTAGAGTGGGTTTTATGGCAGCGACAGACTAGTTTCTTAGACTTACTGCCATTCTTGTTAGGGGTATATACCGACAGTCTGCTAGGGTTGCAGGGTTGGTGTGAGTAAAATAGATCACCCTCGGGTGACGCGGTGAGTCCGTATCCATCAGTCAAATGCATCCTCGGCAGACGGTCGGGATTCAACCTCTTGATGAGTCGGCGAAAGTCTGACGGAACAGTCTGTCACAGTCATGCTTTTTTTTTTGTGGAGTTGTCTATTAGTATAGCAAACATGATTGAGAACAAAGTATGTCTGTCTAAGAAGTATGTCTGTCTAAGAAGTATGTCTGTGATTGAGAACAAAGTATGTCTGTCTAAGAAGTATGTCTGTATATAGCCAAAACCCCGATTGAATACGAGTATATGTCTGTCTAAGAACGCTTGCTCGACCAGCGGGGGGTGACTCCACAGTCGAGATAGCATTGATTAATCACTCAGCCATTCATCTGGAGGAAGAATAGCTGTTCGTTTCCCTTTTTTGGTCACCTGTCCATTTGAATAATTTCTTGAGGAAACGATTTAAAGAAGTCATTAATCTCTGAAAAATTAAAACTCTCTGTGATTAAACAAGCAATCAGACATTCTGTTCTATATGATATATTTTGGTGCTGTTGCTTGTTGGCCCCTGTTTTGTTGTATTTGGCTGTTCCCTTCCTCTTTTCTTTGCCTCTTTGCCCTTTGGCTGTGTGCAAGTGGGTCGATATGACACACGGGGGTGGGGGCAACCGCCGCTCAACCTACATCCACGTGGGCGGCCTTGTACGCAAGAGGTTCTGAACAGGGGGAGTTGTAAGGAAGAAGATAAAAAATGAATTGATATCTTTTTTGCTTCCTTTTGTTTTTTTTCGCTTTTGCGCTCTGATATTCATGTGACGATATATATACATATGCATAGTAGATATATATACATATGCATAGTAGATATATATCCATATATAATCAAAGAGAACTACCCGGTGAACCGTAAGCAGGAAGGGACAAAAAACGCGGGGCTGTGAACAGACGCTTTCGTCCGTCGGAGTTTCACCACAACTCATCAGAAGGCTATATACACATAGTATTTATTTATTATCTATTTATTATTTATTTATTATTATTTATTATTTATTTATTATTATTTATTAAATTTATTTTTTATTTTTTATTTATTTATTTATTTATTTATTTATTTATTTATTTATTTATTTATTTATATACATAGCCAGCTCCGGGTTAGCAGAAAGGCTGAATGGTATATTTATATGTAGGATGAAGTAGAGTCAGATCCAATGTCTTCCTTGTCAATTTCGAAGAAGTTGATATCTGAAGAGGTGATCCAGAGACGAAGAACGTAGACGCTTCTTAGATCGATGATGAAACTTCACCCAGTAGTAGTTGATACGTCCGCTACTGCAAACGGGATGGGGAAGTGGAGGGGGGAGGAGGGGAGCGGAGGAGGAGGGAGGGTAGAGTGACACCCCCTTACTAGTTCATGGTGGTCCCCCCGTCATCAACCATGGGACAATCTGCAGGGTGACAAGACCTCTAGCCATCGCCCCGCAAGTTGACAACCTCGTGCCCAAGTTCCTAGAAACCACCTGACTGATCTACCGATTTGCCAATTTACCCCTCCCGATAAAGCCCACTTTCTTCTTTGTCCAGCCTGACTGATCTACCAATTTGACAATTTACCCCTCCCGATTGAGCCCACTTTCTTCCTTGTCCAGCCTGACTGATCTACCTGACAATTTACCCCCCCCGATTGAGCCCACGTTCTTCCTTGTCCAGTCTGTCATACAAAAGCATTCTCCGCACTTCATTCCCGATCTGATTTCCTGGCATATCACAGAGAACTCCTCCCTCGATTGAGAGCTCTTCTCTTTTCTTAAAACCGCTGCATTCCTTATGACAGTCGTGTGATCCACACAGCTGGAATGAAAGAGGAACCGGGGGGCAAGAAATGAGGGGGGGAGAAGGGCAGGTGACCG